GAGAGACACAGAGAGAGAGAGAGAGACGGAGAGAGAGAGACATCAATTGGTTGCCTCCTGCACTCACCCCAACCAGGGCCTGGGCTGGAGCCTGCAACCAAGGTACATGCCTTGGCCAAAATCAAACCTGGTACCCTTTGGTCGGTGGGCCAACGCTCTAACCACTGAGCCAAATTGGCTAGGGCAGGACTTTTCTTTTTGAAGGGTGATGCTGAATCAGCCTGGCCTAGAGATAAAGTGGGTATATATGTGTGTGAGTGTATATATATATACATATATATACGTTTTTCTACTAATGCTAGTGTTCAGCCAGTAGGACCCCATTTTGAAAAACACAAGATCATAACACTACCATGGTTTGAAAACCAGAAAACAGAAATTACTGAGTACTTATTTGATCAGCTATTGTTGAGAAATATAAAACATTGATTTCTCTCCTTTGGAAGACAGATTAAATATATGTATTATTTTATTTGAGACTTTTATGGCACAGAAATCCCTATGACCTCAAAAGTTTTCAACTCTAATTTGACATACTAAACTAGGTTACTTCTCTATATTCTAATTTTATGCATTTCTTTACCAACTTCATCCTTTCTCATAAGATAAATGGCAAATCATCTTCATCCCCATTAATATTCTAAGATGGCAGCTGGAACCATATTAAGAAAAGAGAGAACAGAGGTCTTGGGAAGGAAAACAAAAAGACTAGCTCAAGGACCGCATGTCCTGCGTTACCAAAACCTGCTCTCCCAAGTTCTTTTTTTTTTTTTTTAATATGTCTTTATTGATTTCAGAGAGAGGAAGGGAGAGGGAGAGGGAGAAACATCAATGATGAGACTCATTGATCGGCTGCCTCCTGCATGCGCCCTACTAGGGACGGAGCCGGTAACCTGGGCATGTGCCCTGACCAGGAATTGAACCTTGATTTCCTAGATCCTAGGTCAATGCTCAACCGCTGAGCCATGCTGGCTGGGATTTCCCAAGTTTTTTAGTTCAATTTTCACTCTAGCTTTATTCTATTGCTCATTGGTGTTATCAGTTTCATTTGTTTTTAATATTTCTTTGGCTCCTAGAAATAGAGGGGGGAAATGGAAGAAGACCAGGAGGTGATTTAGCCAGCCTGATCTCTCCTTTGGGATGGTAGACAAGAGAGGAACAGGAGAGGAAATAGCAGGAAAAAACAACAACCAGCATTTATGGGCATTCACAGAACCATTTCTATTTCCTTTTCTGCTCCTCTCTTGTCCACCATCCCAGAGGCTGGCTAAATCACCTCCTGGTCTTCTTCCAGAATTTTCAGGTCATGGGTGAAAAAAAGAAATGGAGGATATTGATTGGATTGAAATCAATGAAATCTTTCAGTGAAAAAGACAGGGAATTACTGGCTAGGAAAAAATGACACAGAGAGAGGGGAAATGGGCAAGAGAGGAAAGAGAAGCTGAAGAGTGTGGGCTGATAAACAGCTTTGAGGCTCATAACCTGCTAACTGCTAACCTACCATTGGCCCTGCCATGTGTTCTCTTTGTGAACAAAGCATTGGACCCCTCTGTTTCCTCATCTGTAATATGGGGCTAATAATAATTAAACCTAATCATAAGGATTAAATACATTAATATATGTGAAGTACCTAGAACAGTGCCTGGTATGCAGAATAGTACATGTAGTATTCAAGCTCCACTAAGTCACAACTGCTTTGATCTTTAAATATGATTTTGATTACATCTGATTTATGAAAGCAGTATTTAGTCTCTAGCAGCAAATAGAACCTGCAGAGCTTCACATATCATGTCATGAGTAATGGTTAAACCGTTTTCTAACAGTCACTAAAATTTGATTTCCCTCTTCCTTCTACAGATAAAACGCCATTGAGTAATATCAAGTATATGAATTACAAGCCTATGCCTTAAGAACATAAATTTTTATTCAGAGAAAGATAAAGATAGATACTTGAAGTTTATTTGAACATCACTTCAAAATCTACTTTAAGGATTGAAAAAACTAATAAAATATAGAATGGTCTTAGTTGTTATTGTTAGAGAGAAGTGAAGAAGAAATCCCAGTAATCTAAATTTGACTTTGAAATGTGATTTGATATTTACACATTGAGATGATGTATCTGATGGTCCAGACATTCATGATATTTAATAAACTATTTTCCCAATCTTTACTGTGATGGTGTCTTTATCACCAGGGATTAGTCAGCAAAACAGAAGCCACTTGATGTATTCAGATATAAAGTGTTCAATGCAGAATTAGGAATTTGCAGGACTTTTGAAAAAGCTGGGGGGTAAGAATGGGGGGATTAGGGGCAGGGGTGGGTTAGAGGTCGGGAAAGCAGCTGCTGAAGGTCAAAGTGTTCGACAGTGAAGACCTCAGTGCTTTCCAGAAGCTTTCCTGGAGCTGCTGCAATACTTGAGAATCTTCAAAAAATGCCACCAAGTATCTCAGGCAATGTGGGTCATTATCCAAAATTTGCTGAAAAGCCACTATGTACCATTTTCTGGAAAAAATAAGAAACTAATAATAATGGCTTTCTATTCAGTTCCATCTTCTAGCACTCCGGAAAGCTTTTCTCATTGGAAACCACCCCAGAACCTCACAGAGGAGGGGATTCTGGAAAATTTAGTTCCCGGCCTTAGAAGGAAGCACGACTGGTGCCAAGGGCACAACATGAGCTAACACACGACATACGCAATGCTCTGCATCTTACTGCTTTGGCCCCTGTTCCTGAGAAAAGCCAGGGGACTGGTTAAAAAAGGTGAAGGGATTAAGCAAAAACAAAATAACAAACAAACAAAAGTCACAGACACAGACATCAGTACTGCGATTACCAGGGGGGAAGGTGGGGGTAAAAGAGGGTAGAGGGGGGTAAGTGGTGATGGGAGGAGACTGACTCGGGGTGGCGGACACAGTGCATACAGGGGATGTACAATTACACACCCGAGACCTATATAATTTAATTGACCAATGTCACCCCAATGAATTCAATTAAGGACAAAGAAGAAAAAATAAGACACAGTCACTGTGTTTATATAAAAAGAACCTGAAGAGAGAGAAAACAAGACAGGGGCGCAGGTAGCAGCTGCCCCCGCCGCCTCCCGCAACCACATCAGACTCACAACTAAAACACAGACCCACCGTCACCAGAGCCTCCTGAGATCCGGCTGCACAGAAGCCCCACAACCAGGGGCTGAAGGAGCATCGAGACCGGGAGGAGGGGCGGAGACGCGGGCCGGTCGGGGCTGAATCAGACACTTGGCCGAGGGCCCACACCCGGTGCCTCGGGGTAAACCCGGGAGGGAGTCTCAGTGGTGGAGGTTTCCCGGAGGAGGGAGGGGTCCCAGCCCCACAGCAGGCCCCCAGCCCAGGGCTCCAGGGCCGGGAAGAGACGTCCCCACAACTTCGGGCTGTGAAACCAGCGGGGACTGTCCTGAGGATCGCGGAGGCTGCGGGAGCCCCAGCAGCTCCTCCTAAAGGGCCCGGCACGGACTCACTCGGACGCTCCCTCTGAGCCCAGCGCCGGGCAGCAGCCGGAAAGGACCCGGGACCCTCGGGGAGGAACTAA